CAATTGGTAAATTTGATTCAACTAAACAGCGTAATGTATTGTTATTAGGTTTTATACTAATAACAGTTCCAAGTTTCACAGAATCTTTTATACATGTTTCAATATCTTTAATTTCATAACTTCCAGTTGGTATATCAATTATATGATTACCAATGTAAAATTTATTGTTACCTTCATCAATATTGGGAATAGAATTAAAAGTCAGTAATTCAACAAGACCGAGGACATAATTTTTATTTGGATTAAGTTCTATTGGTGGGAAATATTCAGCTTCAAGAACTGAAGTGTTTCCACTTAGTGTTAAAGTAAACGAATCACTCATGATGCTGTCAGTTTCTATACTAAAAGATTACAAAAGTTACATGTTCTTATATAGACTAAAGCTGCTCTTAACAGTAAGTTGTTTACATAAAAATTTTAAACATAAATGTCCACACACATAAGTATCATAACTTTGATATCTCTCATGATTATATTTTATTAAGCTACCGTCACCCAAGTATGTGATTAGATCTGTTGGTGGAGGAAGGTTGCCAAAACTATCAAAATACATTATTTCATTATTACATTTTTTATATGCCACCCAATGTGTTCCTGGACCTTCTTTATTATCCAAGTTAATAATTCCAGACTCATATCGATAAGGTCCTTTAAAAGGTAGTTCATTTCGCATAAAAACTCCTCGAAAATATGGTATTTTCATAGTTTTAGCATATTTCAACAGATCAAAATCAGTTAGAGGACGGTGAGGTAGCTTCAATGCAAGTTTTTTTTCTTCCTTAATGTTGGTTTCATCTTCTTCTTTTTTAATCCTTTCCCCTGATTGTATGGTTTAATATGAAGACCAAGTCCTTGTCGGTAGGGTTTGAGATGTAATCCTTTTCCAAGCGATATTGCTTCCATTGCTTTATTATGTCGTTGAGCTTCAACAAGTTGTTCCTTGGCAGTTTTAGCCTTGTTTACAGCTTTCACTATACCTGAAGCTCCACCAGCAAGAGCTCCCAAAGCACTAAGTCCAGCAAAAATCGGAACCAGTGGTAAAATACCACCAACTTTAGAAGGTACAGGTAAAATTCGCGGTGATAAAATTTTTGATTTACCACCAGCATTTTTTATTGCTTCTTTTGCACCAATCAGAGCAGCTTGAATTGATTCTCCAGAATTATGATTAGGTAGCATACTTTTTCTAGCAGCATCAACAACTCTTCGTAATGCTAGTCGCTTTTTCTTACACATGGTTTTTCTTTTCTTCTTCATTGTAGACTTTTTCTTCCTTTTCATTCCCATACCTAATGTTGATTTAGCTTTCATCGTTCCAGATATCGCTAAAGCTGCTGCCTTTTCACTAATACTAGAATACTTAGATGTAACACGTTGCCACGCCTTTTCAGCTAGCTCTTGGTCTGCAACGTTTCTTGCTTTAATGTTTTCTCGATTTTGCGAATATGCAATATCATGTGCTTTACATGCAGCGTCTAATGGGTTAACACCTTTATCACCACGTGCTAATCTTTTTGTCAACTTTGTACCGGGTCCACAGAATTGGTATCCAGGTAAATGTAATTCAAAAGGTAAACTATTGATAATACGGTTAACTAACCCTCTACCACGACAAAGATGTTTTTTATCACTTCGATGTAAAATCATTCTACACTCTATGAAGTTTGATGTGCAACTGACTGTAAGACTATAAAAGCCGAGTATTTATAGTTTACAGAGCAGTTACTGTCAAGATGCAGTTCACGAAACAACCTGTAGCACTCCCAATCACAAGTATTGACGTTGAAAGTAGTGAGAAAAAAATTCAACGTCATGGTAGTTTGTTTTCAGATAGCATCCGAGCTGTCTTTTGTGGTCCCTCAAATTGTGGTAAAACAAACGCTCTTCTCTCTTTAATCATACATCCAAATGGTTTAAGTTTTGAAAATATTTACCTATACTCTAAATCTCTGCAGCAGCCAAAATATCAATTTTTGAAAAATGTAATTCATGACGTGGATGGAATTGAATACTTTCCATTTAGTGAGCATGAAGAAGTAGTATCTCCAAAAGATGCTAAACCGAACTCAATATTCATCTTTGATGATATTGCTTGTGAAAAGCAAGACAATGTTAGAGCTTTCTTTTGTATGGGTAGACATGTAAATGTTGACAGTTTCTACTTGTGTCAAACATATGCTCGTATTCCAAAACATCTAGTCCGAGATAATGTAAATTTACTGGTGCTTTTTAGACAAGATGAAAAAAATTTAAAACATGTCTACGAAGATCATGTAAATACAGACATGTCTTATACTCAATTTCGTGATTTATGTTCAGAATGTTGGAAATCTGATAAATATGGATTTGTCGTTATTGATAAAGATAGGAATTTTAATGAAGGAAGATATAGAAAGGGATTTGATTGCTTTATTACACTATAAATATAACTACTTTATTTCATTTTAAATTAGTATAGTTTATGTTATCAAGACGGAAACATGTATCGAAAAGAGCAAGAAACACTTCGTCAAATAGCAAAAGCAAGCGACGCTATTAGACGAAAACATCGCTTACTTAAAATGGGTAAGGAGGCTGCAGAGACATTGTTAAAAGAAACTCTGCAACCAATAGTTACACCTCTTCAAAAGTTGGCAAATGTAACTGAAACTCCTTTCAAAAATGTTAAAATTGAAAAATTCAAGAAAGATGATAATGATTTCTCTTTTTCAACTGCTGTTGACGATGATGAAGAATTTGATAAAACTCTACTAAATTCAACTTTACTTGATAAGAGCAATAACTTTGAAAAAGAAGAAGAAGATTATGAAAAAATTACAAATAAATTTATTTTTATGTTAGATAAAAATAGAAAACTGTTTGTAGATACGGTTTATGGAGTACGTAAACTTGCCAACGGTTCTTTTATGATTGGTGATACACCTATTGAATTTGAAGGTTCACATATTAAGCTTATTGGAAAGAAAAATTATTTAAAAACTGCTGGGTTACTCGAACTATTATTTAAACAAAAACCAAAAGAAGCTTTAATAAGTTCAGATGATTTTTCAAATTATAAAGAAATTCTCATTGCTACGAATGCACATCGAAAAAATTATAGTCCAAGTGAATCTGTCAACATAAGTAGAACTTCCAAGTACACTGATGTTATTGCAAAACTTATCAAAAGTACACCAAAGAAAAGTGGTGGTGGTGGTTCTTTAAAGAAGCATAAAAATATATTACCACAATTTATGATTGCAAAAAGACAATTTAATCCAGACTACATCTATTGGGATGATCCAAATGAACTTGTTGACCGTTTACGACTACTCATAGCATCACAGCAAGCTGGTAATCCAAGTCATAATAATGAGATTATGTCAATTATTGAAGAACTTCGTGAAGCTCGAATTATATATTAAGAGAGAGCATAAAGAAGAAGTGCTTAGTATAACAATGAGCATTGATGTGTTCGGACATTCTTTAACACGACGTGTTGCAAGTCGTGGACTACCTGGACCTTCTGGTATTGGATTTAAAGTTACTCCAAGTGGAGACTACAATATTGAAAACAAAAGACTTTGTAACGTTAGAGACGCTGAAGAGCTTCATGATGCAGTAAATTTACGACTTGTACAACAAATTATCCGAAACGAGATAAAAACTGTCTTTCAAATTACATCTTCTTTAAGATCAGCCATTGATGATTTGAATATTTTAATACAAGTTGTCGAAGATAGAGTTAACGAAAAACTAAAACAAATTGAATTACAACAGAATATTATAATTAAGGAAACTACATTTATTCCAAACGATGAATGATAAAAAGTTAACAGTTGTAACTGAACTGCATAAACAAGCAAGACGGAATTATCCTCGTCGTAAAGTTCAAATGCGTGGCATAGATGAAACCTGGCAAGCAGATTTGGTAGAAATGATACCTTACTCCTATTCCAATAAAGGTTTCAAATACATGCTCACAGTAATAGACATATTTTCCAAATATGCCTGGGCTGTAGCTGTAAAAAGTAAAAATGGAAAAGATATTTCTTTAGCCATGAAATTAATATTAAAAGAAGGTCGTATTCCAAAAAATTTACACACTGATAGAGGCAAGGAATTTTATAACTCTGAATTTCAGAGTTTAATGCAAGAATTCAATATTAATCTCTATTCGACTTATAGTAATTTAAAAGCATCAATTGTTGAAAGGTTTAACCGCACTCTAAAAAATATGATGTGGCCTGAATTCAACTTACAAGGCAATTACAAATGGATTAATCTTTTACCAATTCTCATATCAAAGTACAATAATAAAAAACATCGTACGATTGGTATGAAACCTAAAGATGTCACCGTAGAAGATACAAGAGAATTGCTGAGACGTATCCGTAAACTAAGAAGAATTCCGCTAAGAAGACCAAAATTTAAAGTTGGAGACAGAGTTCGAGTCAGCAAACATAAAAACATCTTTGAAAAAGGTTACACCCCCAACTGGACAACGGAAATATTCACTGTAGATCAAGTTAAACGAACAAAACCAGTTACATACAAACTTACAGATTATGAAAATCACCCAATCGAAGGTGGTTTCTACGAAGAAGAACTATTAAAAGTTAAATATCCAGATGTATATCTCGTAGAAAAAGTTCTCAAGACTCGCGGCAATAATGTCTACGTGAAATGGCTTGGATTTGATAATTCACACAATAGTTGGATTAAAAAATCTGATATGTAATAAGTTATTTTAATGTTAAAATAGGTTAAAGTAACGTTAAATATAGTTAAAGTAACGTTAAAAATAGTTAAATTAATGTTAAAAATAGTTAAATTAATGTTAAAAATAGTTAAAGTAATGTTAAAAAATAGTTAAAGTTAAAGTTAAAAATAGTTAAACAAATTTTGTATCTAGGATAAGGTTTTTTTTCTAATAAAATTGACATAATATGTACATCTTTTGTTTTTCTTTTATTAAAAACATCATTTTCTCCATTTTTTTTTTTACAATATATAATTGGTTAATTTTCTTCATCCATAATTTCAACAATTTTACAATGTCCCCATGCAAGGGTGTCGGTACTGTTTGATAACAAATATCTTTTATCGTCAAAAGGACTCAATGCAATTTTGGTTTGCTTTACTGTTTGCACTTTGTGCAGTTTTGATCTGATTGTATACTGAGTTCTAGATTGCATATTTACATTTCGGAGACAATACACGTAATCATCAAAACTAATAGATTTTTTTACAACGCCAGTTTTTACACCTTTAGCCTTTTTGATGAAATCCTTATTCTCAACGCGGACGCTGTACATTTTGCTCCGCAAGCCAACAAATTCTGTTACAATTTTTCCGCAGCATTCATCTTTCATCATTCCTAAAATTTTTTTGTTGGCTTGCGGAATATTGTACACGTTATTCACCGGGTAATCGGAAGTATCAAATTTGTGGATATCGTCTTTCATATCAGCATAAATGTCAGAGCATTTGATTTCATAAATCAGGCTATCAGTGTCGGTGTACAATAATTTCAATTTCTTTTCATCATATTTTTTTAACATGTAATCATAATGGAAATCGTAGATTAAAGTTTTTGAAACATCTAAAACTGTCAGTCCAACATACAGTGGCTTGTTCATCAAGACTTCCATTTTCCGAAGTTCCACGGCAACCAAGTTTTCGTTAAAAATGGCCCTGCTGTGGAAATTCGGTTTCGCGATCAAAGCTTCAGCTCCATACCTACCCTCCCACTTTGTAACGAGTTTAATGTCAACGTGTTTTCGCACGTTCTCCATTGTTTTGCCAAATACCGCGTTGTTCATCAACTTGAATAGATTTTTTTCAAACTCATTGTTTGCATTAGTTCTTTTTGTTGTATTAAAATCAATGTACGTTTTTAGCCATGTTGATTGCTTGAATCTTAAAACTCGATGAATTTGAACTAACACAAGACCATGTTCTAAAGCTTGTTTCAAAGCACGGTAATGGAGAACGTGCTTTCGTTTCGGCAGGAGGGTAGTTAGGAGCTTTTGCTCTTTTGATCCTGGTGGCTTCGAGCGTTCTGGGCAAAACGGAAAATCACTATGCTTATCATGAAGTTCATTTGGGTAATCCAAATCGACTTCTAAAATGTAGCCAATTGGCGCATCATCTGCAACGTTAAAATCAAAATTAATATCAACATTTTCTTCCCACTTGAAGCCACCATAGGGAAGAGACTGAATCATGGCCCAGCCATAAAGGTTGTTTGCATCAAAGTATACGATATAAGATGTTTCCTCATTTTCATTAAAATTCTCCATGTAAGGATTATTTGCTTTTGCATAACGATTGACACACTGACTAATGCCACCTCTAATTCCGCGTTCGATAAACATTACCATGTCAATATCAGTGAGGAGTTCCAATCTTATATTCGTATACTTTAGCATGGCATCCCATGTCAGTCCTGGAGTCGTGTAATAATGCCCTGGATCAAGACCGTACGCGAGATGACACTGATTCCTGAAATTTTCAAAAATGTCCGCGAGTAACAATATGTCGGTCTGCATATACAAGTACACATAATCGCCGAGATTTTGACAACCAAACTCACTCCATACTTTCTGCGCATGTGCATAATCTTCATCGGAGACATTTGAATCGACAAGAGTGCTGTAAAAATTTTCTATAGGCGGCAATTGAGTTTCATCGAGTTTTTCCCTTGAGTCAAGGTACTCATAAGGAAAAACTCCTTTTCGCGTTAACAATTGAATTTTGTCGGCACTGTAATTCGAAAAAACAGAATTCACAATTGGGTATTCGTCGAGATAGGATGCTAACTTGTCCAATGACGATGCCATAAATTTAAAGGAATCAATAAAACGAAATTTAATAACACTGTCTTTCACATTTTTCGTAAAACTGATGTACTTTTCTTTGTTAATAGGGAGCAAATAAACATTACCTTCAAATCCTGAAGCAATAGAATCAATGATAAAATGAGCATCATAACCACTTAGGTTATGAAAAACAACAGGAATGACCTGTGATTCATGAAAATTAATATTACAATCTCGATGCGCGGGCCCCCGATACTTCCCTGTTAGATGACAATGGTCTCTCACCTTTACATCCCCAGGCTTGATTTTCTTTTTACAAATGTGACAAGTAGTTGCATTTCTAAAATCAATCAGCTGATCTCGACTTAGCACCTCCATCGGCACAGGATTTTTAAATAATGTATTGAGATTGTCTGCCAAGTCTTTCAACTCGGTTGAAAACCATTTAGCTGGATCTTCCTCATCTTTTGGCGATGCTTTGTATATGGACAACGTGTCGTCGAAAGAGCATTTCAAGTAATATCCAATACTGAGGGTTTTGTGATGTTGAAAAATCTCAGTATTGGCTGCTTCTTGTGGTGTTTCGGCAGGAAGCAAAAGACTTTCGCAATCTGCATAAATAATGAATGGCACACGCTCCTTGTTTTGAAAATTTTTAAATTCAACAAAATTCGTCCCTGGTTCTGGCAGCACAATACTCGTCTCGTTCATTTTCCTACAATTTTCTTCGTGTTCAGTGAGCTTAGATTCTTCACCGAAATAATGCAGGCAACGATCACAGATGTATTTTCGAATCTTCTTTTTTGACAATTGACTGCCAACTAGCGCTGATAAATCTTTGATCCACACGTAATGGTAGTTGAAAGAGATGATGGGTACGTCTTTTTCCTCCTCCAAATCTGCATTTTCATCAATGTAATGATCTTCAATTCGAAGAAGATTGACGTGAATAACTTTCTTTTCCTTTGAAAGGTGAAGCGGTGCCACTGAAAACTTTTCATCTCTTTTGACAAGTCCATATACATTAACAGAAATGTTGTTCAACGCCTCAAATTTCGGAATATCTTTGAGTGCAACAGGAAACTCAATTCCAGTGAAATTGAGTTCATCCTGATAAGGTCTGTATTTTGCAACTCGATCTGCATCTCTTGAAGGTGGATACAAGGCTGACAAAATTGACCACTTAAAACATTGATTATCTGTGTTTTGCACGTTAATACAAGCATGTTTGTTTTTAATGGTAGATGGTAAGTCGATATAAGAACCAGCACGCATGGGGTTGTACTTGTTAATGTTAACTTCCAACCTTTGAATAGAATCAAGTCTCCAATTAGAATCCTTCTGTTGGAATTCTTCGATTCTTCTCAAAGTAGGTTGTTTAACATTTTCATTGTACCACTGATCTAACTGGGTTGTAATGAAAATCTCATCAGTCTTTGCGATAAATGTCTTTAAATCAGATAGTTCTTCTTGACCATTAATAGAATCTTTTTTGAATTTCGCACCTAAAACGGTATAAACTTTGATTGGACCAAATCTGTTCAAAGCTCTTTCAATGTTACTTTCAAACAAAACAAAAGCATCGTCAAGGAACTCGTTAATATCCATATAATCAATATTTATAATAGCACTGGTTTGCAGACGATCCTCAAATGCACCCTCAAAATCCACCCATTTCATTCGCTCATTCTCTACTTGCACACCTGCACCCCGTTTCATTAACACATCAAAATTACAACGCAAGTATTCAAGTTTTTGGCTCAAATTCAAACATCTTGATGTTTGGTAAGGCAAAAAATCGGATTTGCGCAAAAATGCTCGCATGATGTTTTTGTAACGCTGACACTTGTTTTGCCATTCAAATGCGTTAACGAACTTTTCTTCACCTGACATTGACATTGTAGCGATGAATTGACGTTCCGCCATTTCGATGAAATTGTCCGACTCGAGACACACTTCATTGTACTCGTCGAGGGTCATTCGCTGTCGCGATTTCTTTGACACCCTACACTTAGGCATCGTAAACCTAAAAACCTAAAAACCTGAAATAGAAGAAAATCCACCACCTCCTGAAAAATCTTAAAACTAACCAAAAATACCCTCCACCACCTGAAAAAAAATAATAAACAAAAAACAAAATCTGAAATAAAAAATAATAAACGAAAAACAAAATCTGAAATAAAAAAAAAAGAGAACCTACAATAGAAAAAAAAGCTGAAATGAAAAGCTGAAATGAAAAGCTGGAATGCTGTGAAAGTACTGCGCTAGACCTGTAAACAGAAAGCAGTGATGCTGGTGGCCCGAGCGCTGTCCTATATACCCTACTTCCAACTATGAGGCACCCCACTACCGCGCTCCCCACTACGACGCGCCCCACTACTCAAGCGACGCGCGCAACCAGGTGGGACTGCCGCTGCGCGCTCTGCTGTAGGCATGGGAGGGAGTCCCCGGCTGAGTTCACATCGATGCGGGGAGAGACGATACTCAGCATATGAACCCAGCGCTGGCAGCGGCATAGACGCAACCAGCAATGGGGATCCCTCTCGATGTTTTTTCCATACAGGTTTAGATATATACATTGAAATTTTAAACTTTAAATTAACTTTAAAATAGGTAAAATAAAATGGCGTCATCTTGTGGTGTCAGCTGGAACTAACTCGGTCGGTAATTTTAGCGGGAAATTTAAAAACCCCCACTTTAAATTAATAGAAAAAAATAATTTTAAATTTAGCGTAAAAATAAAATAGCGCCATCTTGCGGTGGCAGCTGGAACTAACTCGGTCGGTAATGCAGAACACCAAGCCACTTGAACAAAAAAGTTTAAAAATTCAAATTTCCCGCCAAGGGGGTTTGAATTGGCCGGTAATCGAAAGTGGCGCCATCTAGTGGTGGCAGCCGGAACTAACTCGGTCGGTAAAGTAGATCACCAAGCCACTTAAAATTAAACTTTTAAAAATTCAAATTTCCCGCCAAGGGGGGTTGAATTGGCCGGTAAAATGCCAAGCCACTTTAAAAATTCAAATTTCCCGCCAAGGGGGGTTGAATTGGCCGGTGGCGCCATCTAGTGGTGGCAGCCGGAACTAACTCGGTCGGTAAAGTAGATTCCTACATTACCGACTGTCGGTAAGTGCGCCAGAACCCCCCTAGCTTAACTACTTATAAACAATTCAGATTTTATTTATTTAATAATTTTAGTTATCAATTATTAAAAATATACGATTTTAAAAAATACTTCACGAATTAAAAAGGGGATTTTGTTTATAAGAAATAGAGAAAAAATTGTGTTTATTGTCTGCTCTGAAGGAATAAGAAGTCTAAATTCTTCCTATATCTTAAAAAATTTGTTTGATATTAATTTTTAAAACGTTAGATTCTTAAAATTTTCGAAATTCAATTAACAAAATGTTTTTTATTACAGTTGAAGAAAACAGGAGACGTGAAAGCGTGGCAGAATCGTGGCCAACATCAAGGTATAAGCCATAAAATGTCTATTTTTTACATTAAAAACATTATTATTATTTTGTTTTTTATAAAAAAAGGAAAAGATATTTCTTTATTTTTTTGAAAAAATTAAATTTTAAAAATTTTGCTAGAAGAGAAAAATGTAGGTCTTTTTGACTTTTGAAAAATTTTAATGATGCTAAATATTTGTGAATTTTATTTTTTTATTTATTTATTGAAAATATACGGGCAAGCCCATTTTATGAAAAAAAAATTTATGAGGAAATTTATTTTTTTCATTTCATCCCTTTTTCTTTCAAAACTTTTTGTCTAAATTTTTTCTTTACAATAGTAAAAAAGATATTTGCAAAGTATTTTATAATATATCAAATAAAACTTTATTTCAATACATCCATTCAAAAAAAATATTTTTATTTTTACTTATTTACTTTTTTTTATTATTTAAAATAAAAAGTTTTTTTTTGCTTTTTTGTAAATAAAGTAAGAAGTTGTAATAATTATAAGATGTTTTATAAAAAATTGGTTAAAGTTCACCTAGGTTCCCGTTCACATAACTACAATTCAATTAAGAGTCTTTAGCTTTAAAATTGTAAAAGTTTCTCTTAAGAAAAAAAACTCGTTTTTCAAAAAAAAAGAAATGAGTTTCCCCTAAAAAAAACTATTGAACGATCAATTCCAATCAAGTCCGCCATATTTTTCGTGTAATGTACTCGTATTTTTTACGAGTACATTTTATTTATAAAAAATACGTATATGTACCAAATTACAATTCTTTAGGTAACTTTAAAATTGTAAAAATTAAGGGGAAACAACGCGTATGGCAAAAAAAATGAGTTCTTTCTGAAAAAAACAAGGTTATAATTGATTTCAATTGGGTCCGCTATATTTTTCGTAAGATCTGCTCGCAAAAATACGTATACGTACACAAATTTTGAGCTCATTAGATTAAAATGGCTAAATTTGGCAGAAGAGAAACTAAAATAAAAAAGTGATTTCATAAGGTTCCGTCACGGTTCACTGCGTGAACGGAACCCTAAAGATATGGAAAAATCAAAGCACAAAATTTGTTTAAACATTTTATTTATAATAGAACTTATATCAGGCAAAATCTAAAATAGTTTGCGAAAATTTTTTATTTTTTTCAAGGAAGAATTAAAACTAACAAAAAATTTAAGAAGTGCTTTAACTAAAGAAGATAAAATGGTTTATAAAAAATTATGACGTAATTATTTTTCAAAAAATTTTCAAATATTTTTATCGTTAACATTATTCAAAAGTTGAAGAAAAACATAAACTTTTTTTTAGTGAAAATTTTTTAAAGTTAAAAGTTTAAAGTGATCATTAAAAAAATGACTACTTTAAAAAAACAATAATTTGAAAATTTATAACTCAAAAATTTCGAACTAAAAAAGTATGTTCCAACAAACCTAAAAAATCAATATTGAAAATATAGGATAGTTTTAATGTAATGTGCAATAATATTAGTAATATAATAATAATGATAATAATAATTATATTATAATTTTATAATTTCTTTTTATAGGTCACCTGACTTCGATCCAAAAGAATTTTGTGCATATGCATTATGGAACACATTGTATGCATTTCTAAACCAATTGTTTTAAAAATCTATGTTTAACATTTGAATAAAAACAATTTGAAAATTTAAACTGAATATTTTATATATTTTAAACAGAGCAGTAAATCTTCATTTAATTATAAAATGTTTTAAATAAGTTGGAAACTTATTTCGTTTTTTTTTTAGTTTTTCTCAACCATTTTCAACTCATTTTTCAATATATTTTTTAATTATTAGAGCCATTATAAAAATTATAAAGATAATGAATTTTAAAATGAAATTTGAATTTTAAGTTCGCTTGACTAGAATACTCAAATTCAGGTATATGTATATGGATACTTTTACTGGACAAAGTCATAAGAGTTTTTTCGGCAAGGACGTTTTTGCAGGAAGTAATTAAAGAAAATAAAAGAAGTAATCTACTGCCTCTTGTCATGTAAAATGTAATTATTTGAAATTCAGATTTATATTTTTGTCTTTTTTTAGAAATAATTAATTAAAAATATGGTATTTTGAAAATTGCAGATCAATGCTAAAATACATGAAGTGCGTGACGAAAAAAATTTTTTGAAAAAATCGAGGTGAAATTGGAATGGAGTATCAAAACAATTATTGGCTGGGTAAAGATTCATTTGCAAACTGAGCAATGTTAAACAGATTTCAACGCCGAGATGATACATACTGATGATAGTCCTGATATCAAGAGAACGCTTTGATTGAATAAGAAATTCACTTTTATTGAGTAATTTACGAGCATTTTCAACAGTTTCAATTTGATTCACCCGAAGCCATAAGTGCGACTTTCGATTTGAACAAGTACCAGAAATGCGCTAAAGGACTTGAAATTAACATTGTCGTCATGTTCTTCAATTTACTCTGCACGCGCTTTGCAATCTTCTTCTAACCAAACTGAGGAATTTTAAGCAGGTTTGCTTTTAGTATCAATTGGTTCGTTTGTTTTTAATTTATAATTTATATAAATATTTTTTAATAAGTTTTAAAGTTTTTTTTCGCAAACAATGCTAGATAGATATGTTTCAGAATTGTTTATTCAACTGAGTACTAATTAAAAGCTCCAAAAAATGACAAATTTACACTGGGTTACAAAAAAATGGTCAAGTCGTGTTTATTTAAAATTTTTTGTGTTTATTGAAAGTTTAGGTGTCACTGAACAAGAGTATACCAAAAAAATTTTTTTTCATTCGGTCAGTTCCGTAAAAAACGAGATTAAAGTGTCAAAAAATTGTTTTTTAACACTTTTTGAAGCGTTGTAAAATAAAAACGCAACATGATAAAAATCTCCACAAGGGCTTGAATGAAAGCTTAGACCTTCAACTTTGAGTCCCAAAACTGAAAAGTGATAATTGCGGAGAAAATTTATTTGATATGAAATAACTATCCCAAATAGTCAAAATAGGTGGGATAGAGAGCACTTGTTAAAAATAGATTTCCAAAACCGAATTTTTTTGGAACTTATTACTTGGAAGTTTTTAACTTTTCAATTGACGTTTCGAAAGTTGAATTTAAAACATTGAAAATGGTGGATTGAAAATAGCGTTCAAAAGTTTCAAAAATGGACTTTTTTGAAATTTTTTGAAATTTTGAACGCTATCTTTAATCCGCCATTTTCAATTTTTTAAATTCAACTTTCGAAATGTCAATTGAAAAGTTGAAAACTTCCAAGTAACAAGTTCCAAAAAATTCGGTTTTGGAAATCGATTTTTAACAAGTGCTCTCTATCCCATTTATTTTGACTATTTGAGATAGTTATTTCATGTCAAATAAATTTTCTCCGGAATTATCATTCACTTTTCAGTTTTAGGACTCAAAGTTGAAGGTTTAATGTTTCATTCAAGCCCTTGTAAATATTTTTATCATGTTGCGTTTTCATTTTACAACGCTTCAAAAAGTGTTAAAAAAAACAATTTTTTGACACTTTAATCTCGTTTTTTACGGAACTGACCGAATGAAAAAATTT